TATTCATCTTTTTTATCTTTTTTAAAGTATTGTTAACGGTAAAATAAAATTTAAAAAAAATTTATTTTGGTAATGATCGTCATTTTACACAAAATGAAATAAGCCAATCACAGGGAAAGCCCGCTATGTTTATAGTAACCCCTTAGAAATTTTTATAAATGTGCCCTAAAATGTTGCAAAAATCGGTGGATATGTTTTAATATTATATTTTGTGTAACGGCTGCGCCATAAATTGCGCAGTGTTACACTAAAAAATTTATTCCTATTCATATTTCTATTTATATTTATTAACTACTGATTTGAAAATGAATCAGAGAAATGATTGACATTTTAATATAAAATTTTTGTGCTAATTGTCATTAATAAAATAAGAAATATGTATAAAAATTAATTCTTAATAAATAAAACTAACAATCTTCTGCAAAAAAAAAAAAAATAAAAAAAATAAGAAAATTCCCAAATCTCACCATCCTCAGACATTAACTCTCATGTCTACACAAAAAGTATAAAGAACAACCTTAGAATTCTTTCAAGATTGTTGAATACTACTTTAAAATCCTTTTGCAGTTATTTTATTGACTTGACTTATAACAACATGTGGTTCATTTGGTAAAATAAAAGTTTTTTTGTTGATAAACCGATAAAAAAAATGTAAAGCCCTGGTCAGAATACTTGATAGTGGTGGCTGAAAATTAAAAAATTACAAATTTTTATATGTTGTGAACTTCTTGAAATCTCAGCTTCCTACATATAAATGCTTTCAAGAAACATTCCAAGCCCTTTAATATTTTGATACAATATTCTATGAGATTTACTTTATACATACATAAAAAGAATAAAGTTTGTAATACCCAAAACATCATATCTTATTATTTGTTAAACATTGTCAACTGATGATTTTTTATCATTTTTGCACTGCCAATCACTATTAGAATTCTCTGCTTCATTCATAGATTGTCAATTAATCTATTCAGCTGATGTAAATATTTATTTCAAATTATTAATCATAATTTTGTATTGTTCAGTTGACCCAAATATTTATTTAGCATTAATAAGCATATTTTATTGGGCAAAATAGAGTAAAAGTCATGTTTTCTTTAATACCCCAAGAGGTATAAAAGAACTTGGTTTTAGACCAAGTTGGAATCATCATGTTCACATAACAATCTTTTAATTATTGATCTAATAATTAATACTTTCCTAACACCACCATTGTATTATCACTAATAAAATACATAACATAAAAATCTTGACCTTTGATATAATTAATAAACTGCCAAAGGAAAACCTCTGCTTAACTCAGCAAGAAACCACAATTTTAACTATTGAAATATATTTTAAGGGGACACCTTTGGGTATAGTTAGCTATACAATACTAGGGACCTTTTATCCAGGTGAGTAGGCCATAAGATAAAAGAAAACTTTGACCATAAGTCAGTGAGTAGGTTGTGTGTTGAACATAAAACTAACCTATTAAATAGAAAACTTGAATTGCATGCTTGCACCATCAAATTCAAAAACACAAAGTTTATTTTGAAACTACTACCATGATTAAAGATGTAAATTTAAAATTTTCAGATTTTTAAACTCTTGAGTTTTTTTAAAAAAAAATTTCTCATTTTTTTTAGTGTGATGACAATGATTCTATTGAAAGTAATCTGGTGGTTCTTTTAAAATTCAATTATTAATAAAGAAAACAAAATTACAGTTGACACTTATATTGGTGATCATGATTTTTAATTTTTAAAATAACTTATATTTATTTGGATTTTTGATTGCATGTTAATATTTTTGTTTTATTTGTAGATTTAATTGGAATTATTAAAACTATAGATGACTCACATGATATTTTTATACAAACAACAAAAACAAATGTATTTATCTTTTTTTACATATTTTATTGAATTTTTTTTTATTGATCTATGAAAATTCATGTTCTTTTTTAAAATTATCTGTAGGTACATAGACAAATTATCAGCATAGCTGATAAAGATAATAATGAAGTTAAGTTAACATTATGGGGGAGAGCATGTTACACTTAGGAAGACTTTCCCAATACCCTGAAGTCACTTGCAATTCTCAAAGGTTTTTACACACTTGTGTCAAATGTCAAGGTATTATATACCCATTATCATTATAGTTAATATAAATAACATCTAAGGTTGTGGGCAAAACTCCTCCAGAAATCAGTTGACAGAGTTTCAACAGGTTACACATTAAATGTTAATAGAGTTTTGGCAGAGTTTCACATTTGGGGTTTTGTCAATCATCAGAGTTTTGACAAGGTAGATAATAATTGTTCATTAGAGTTTCAACAGAGTTTCAACAGTCACTAAGAGGTTTCAGCAAGCAACCTTAATAACATTTCACTATCATATTCATCTCATTTTAGTTCACATTAAAGACAAATTGCAACCATACAAATGATGTCACCCTTCCTGATTCATGTGTATATATGGTGCGCAAAGCCTATAACCATCATTTACTGTATCACCCTGGCAAACTTCACCAAAAAACTCAATCAAAAATTTGAAAATTATTGATAAAAAATTTATAAAGTCATGTGATTTTTAAAATTTCTTAATTTGATTTATTATCAATTTTAATTATCAACAATATTGCTTGAAGCTTTTCAATAGGATTTGTATCTCTTCTACTGCACATAAAGCTTCTAGACCTGTCAATCCATTTCTATAAGCATCCATAAATCTCCAAGACCTGTGAGTAAACTTCCAAATTTTTTTGAGAGAAACAGAATTTAATGCCAATGGAACAGTTTTTTCTAATGACTTAAAGGTATAATCATAGTTTTCACAGCTATATTATTTTGCTGCATCCAGTAATTCAATAAAATTAAGTTCACAGTAGAACTTGGGTAAAAATGACTTTATGACCATAAGATTCAATAATTTCTTTGATTTTTGATTAATAAAGTCAGGTTGAAGTTAAATATTTTTGACGCGTGATTTTTTTACAGCTACACAATACCAAATTTAGAAAATAGAATTGTAGATTATCCTAAATTTAGACAAATGTATTATTGCCAAATCATCTTGAACATAATAAAATATATGTACCAAAAAGGAATAGAACTTGATAACCAATCAATATTTTGAAAAATCTCTGTTACAATAAAGTTTGAGTATCAATCTATGCAATAACAGAGTTATTTTTTAAAAATGATCAACAGAAATGGACTTATATTCTTTCAAGCAAAAATGGTGGTTATAGACTTCGCACACCATAGGAAACACAAAGAAAAAATCCAGAATGTGACAAGCAAATGCATATTGTTTGATATACCTTCATCAAGCCCAATAAAAAAAAGTAAAGAACATGATGATCATTAAATTATAAAAATTTTTGATCTGAGTAATATAATCATGATACAACTCAATTTTGAATTTACTCAGTTTATTTCAAATTATTCATTTTATTTGTTAATATTAATTTATTGTTCATTTTATTCATTATTTGTTTTGTTTGTTATTCATTACCAATTTTGAAGATTTTTATAAAAAAAATTATCTTTTTCAAATTTATAATGAATAAAACAAATAATTATTATTCAATAGAAACCCTATATACTATGACTATTTGCTAGTAGGAAAAAAGTTTTAAACTACTATTATTATTATCACTACAAGGACTATGGATAATGCATATTAAGCATGCAATCTTGGATTTACAGCATTCTTCATATTAATAGACATAAAACCCAGGATTTCAGCTACTGAGTCAAAGTGTTCAAATAATTTTGATATAATTTTGGTAATTAAACTATTTCAGCATTTCAGATTTAGCAACAATCATTTATTAAGAGAAGCAATTTTGGCTAGCATGCTTAGTGCATACACTACTATCAGTTATATTATTGAATTTGTCAATATTCAATAATTAATTGCCAATTATCTAATTGAGTATTTTCAACAATTGATTAAAAATCATCAATAAATTTCTACATTTAATTAATTAGATAATTGGTGAGTAATCGGTCAGTGGGTAAAACCACCACATCTGTCAGTCTGAACAAGATTTTTTTGCAGATTTTACAGATATCACCAGCCACAGGACTGGAATTAACATCTCTAAATTATTTTGTACTACTAAAGAATGAAAACTTACCACACCTATCTCGGTTACACGACAAGGTTTTTTAAGATAAGATTTCCTTATTATTTTCTACCAATCATGAGGTATTCCTAAAGAACAGGCAAAAAATTTCTTTATATTCCCAATAAAAAAATGAATAAAGGTATTTTTTTTTCAATCAAAGGAAATAACTATTTTAAAAATATGGTAATAGTAGGATTTTACATCATAATTTAATATTTTGTTTCATAATAAATAAAACAATGTTTAGCTGAATTCTATAAAGGTAAATAAACCTTTTACAATATAAACTTTATTAAGACATTATCTAATTAAATAATTTTTTTTTTATTTCTTTATAATAACCAGGGGGTAAGTATTATATTATAAACTAACTTTTTTACAACACAAAATAAACTTTATTAAACATCATCTAATTAAATAAATTTATTTTTTATTTCAGAGGGTAAGTATTATATTGTAAATTAACTTTTGCAATACAAAATAAATATCATTTAATTAAATAAATCAATTTTTTATTTCATAGAGCGTAAGTATTATGTTGTAAATTAATTTATACAACACAAAATAAACTTTATTAAAACATCATCTAATTAAATAATTTTATTTTTTATTTCATAGAGGGTAAGTATTATATTGTAATTAACTTTTGCAATACAAAATAAATATCATCTAATTAAATAAATCTATTTTTTATTTCATAGAGTGTAAGTATTATGTTATAAATTAACTTTTACAACACAAAATAAACTTTATTAAAACATCATCTAATTAAATAAATTTATTTTTTATTTCTTTATAATAACCAGTTGGTAAGTATTATATTGTAAATTAACTTTTGCAACACAAAATAAACTTTATTAAAATATCATCTAATTAAATAAATTATTTTTTATTTTTTTATAATAACCAGGGGGTAAGTATTTAACTTTTATAACAAAATAAACTTTATCAAAACATCATCTAATTAAATAAATTCATTTTTTGTTTCATAGAGGGCAAGTAATATATTATAAATTAACTTTTACAACACAAAATAAACATCATCTAATTAAATAAATCTATTTTTATTTCATAGAGGGTAAGTATTATGTTATAAATTAATTTTTACATTTTTATTAAAACATCATCTAATTAAATAAATCTATTTTTATTTCATAGAGAGTAAGTATTATGTTATAAATTAATTTTTACGACACAAAATTAACTTTATTAAAACATCATCTAATTAAATAATTTTATTATAAATCAACTTTTACAACACAAAATAAACTTTATTGAAAACATCATCTAATTAAATGAATTTATTTTTTTATTTCATAGAGTGTAAGTAATATATTATAAATTAATCTTTACAACAAAAAATAAACTTTATTAAAACATCATCTAATTAAATAATTTTATTATAAATCAACTTTTACAACACAAAATAAACTTTATTAAAACATCATCTAATTAAATTTTTTTATTTTTTATTTCTTTATAATAACCAGTTGGTAAGTATTATATTGTAAATTAACCTTTATAACACAAAATAAACTTTATTGAAAACATCATCTAATTAAATAATTTTATTTTTTATTTCTTTATAATAAATAACCAGTGAGTAAGTAATATGTTGTAAATTAACTTTTACAACACAAATAAATGCCACCTAATTAAATAATTTTATTTTTTATTTATAGATTGTAAGTATTATATGGTGAATTAATTTTACAATACAAAATAAACTTTATTAAACATCATCTAATTAAATTTATTTTTTATTTCACAGATTGTAAGTATCATATTATAAATTAACTTTTTACAACACAAAATAAACATCATCTAATCAATAAATCATTTTTTATTCTTAGGGAGTAAGTGTTATATGGTGAATTAATTTTACAATACAAAATAACTTTATTAAAACATCATCTAATTAAATTTATTTTTTATTTCACAGGTTGTAAGTATCATATTATAAATTAACTTTTTACAACACAAAATAAACATCATCTAACCAAATAAATTTAATTTTTAACCAGATTGTAGTATTATAAATTAATTTTTATAACTCAAAATAATTTTCATTAATAAATTTATTTTTTATTTTATAATAACCAGCTGGTAAGTATTATATTGTATTATAAATCAACTTTTATAATTTTTATATCTAATTAATGAGTTTATTTTTCTTTATTTATTTATAATAACCAGTTGGTAAGTAGTATAATTGTCTTGGTCTAAAAGACCTTCTAAATTTTGTGCAAATTTTAAAAGCATATAAGTCACTTTCAGAGGAAATAATTTTAAAACCAAAATCATACGAAGACCCTTTTTTGAAAAATTTTATTGCATTTTTGAAACTGAGCACACAGTGCAGCAATAAGAGACTTTAGACTGAGCCAGCCATATATTATAAATTTACAAAAATAAAATTTATTAAAACATCATCTAATTAATAATCTTTTTTATAATAACAGGGAGTAAGTATCATATTATAAATTTAATTTTTAAATACAAAATAATTTTATTAAAACATCAATTAATTAATAAATTTATTTTTCTTTATAATAAATAAACAGCATGTAAGTAACTTTTACAACATCTAATTAAGAATTTTTTATTACTTCATAATAACAGGTGGTAAATATTAATTATATTATTATTATAAAATAACTTTTACAACACAAAATAATTTTTATCAAAATCTTGTCTAATTAAATAAATTTACTTTTTGTGTTATAATAATAATTGAAGGTAAAATAATTTATAAATTTATAACTGTTAAATGAATGATTATTTTTATTATGTTGAAAAATAATTTTATTTTATTTATGATGAAATAATAAGATAATACTAAAGGGTTTAAAGAAAGAAAAGAAGAATATGGAAACTGTTCTGTTTGTGCAAGATATAATACTAATTACCAGTGGTGCCAATCATGTGATTCCAAATTGTTGGCTCAAAGTTGGACTAGCAGTGGTAATGGAAGATTAGATGAAATAATTAGAAATACACAGCTTGAGGCAAAAGGATTTGATAGTTATCATTACCTTGAATGGATTCCTTATGACCAACTCACTATTGATAAAGTAATAGGTGAAGGTGGTTTTGCAATTGTATATAAGTGTCACTGGTCAAATGGTCCTAGATATATTTATAAGAATATGAGATATTATTGTAAAAATGGTAATATAGCATTAAAAAAGTTTAAAAGCTCACAAAACATTTCTGGAGAGTTTTTAAAGGAGGTAAAAATAATTTGATATAATTAATTAATTCACAAATAATGATTTTTAAATAACATATAAAATTTTTATTAATTTTCA